TAATATTCGTTGTAGTAGAGACTTTGTAATCGCAGATACAACTATAGTAACGCCGTTGAACAATACTGGTGTCAGACGCCTGCGAATAACACTCGCACTAATAGTACTTGCTCGATAATACTTTCTCGAAAAGTAACTAGCGAATAGGGATCTGAATAGTAATCCGTATAGTGAATATAAAATGCAATAATTTTGGCACAAGGCCAATAGGGAAGTGGGAAAAGGTTGGTCTTATCTTAGTCCTAGTTAATCACAATCACGACCCATACATGCAATAAAATTTCACCATTTACCACAAGAACCGATCCCTCACCAGTCAATCCTGCATATACCAAAATACCACACATTCACAGGGAACAAAACCCCAATGGTATAAAAATCTATTGAAAGTTCATAATGTCTAATATATAAAAAAAATTCATGAGTCATGAAATGAGTGGGGAGGGAATGAACCCAGAAAAAGCAAATAAAAGGTTATAACAAAACAAAGCAAAAGAAAACAGATGTTAGTAGGACCCGTTCACCCTCCGAAATAAAAAAAAAGAGTGGCCATTCTATTCTGTCGATAGACAGAATCAAGTAACACACTCACTAATGGAGTGGGAGAAAGGTTAAATTAAACGTTGGAGTGGAAAAAAAGGTCTGACCCAGTTGAGATGAAAAAGGGGACAAAACAAACTGGGGAGGTTGGGACTCTCGACCTGGATCATAAGCAAAGAGAATACTGAGAACATGCACTTAACCCCATTAACTAGGAAAACAAACAGTGTGTAGCTTAACCAAGGGGAGGGATCATAGAAAACCGCCCCGTTGTGACTTAAAAAAGAAACTCAATATTAACCCCTTTCTCATGAACCAAGCTCGCTACTTTCACCCACCTTTCGCTGAAATCTGTCGATGGCAAACGCTTTCTATCAGTCCTGATCTTCATCTTCATCTTCAGCTGATGCTGAGAGAATTTGATCAGAGCCTGATGCGAATAGCGTTCGTATCGCAAAATTCCCTCCAGTCGCGTCGTCCAGATTATCATTCTTGCCACGGCTAGCAACGTTAGAAACACCATTCGTTCCGCCCTAGAATACGGACGCGACACATTATCGCATGCGTATGCGAGATCAATGAACACAAGTTTATCGGGAGCGATAAGAGCCGTCACTGACATAGTCCCAGAAAGGGCGTACCTGAGGACAATGGTAGAAGGCGTGCGAAGCCTTTTGCTCTAAACCAAGTCGGGCAAATCCGCCCCGCCCCATCTGAAGGCTATGTCATTGAGAAATAGCACGTTTCGAATCAATCGCAGGTAAGCTAAAACTCAGGGTTACTGAGGTGATTCGCCACTGGCGCTCGAGACCAGAAAAAGCGCAACTCGGCCAACAAGCCGAGCCACTCACAAAGAGGATCCTTCGCGACCTCCTCCACTAATTCACGATACAAGACCTTTCGAAGCCGTGAAAGGTCACTGGACCAAGGAAAGATCCTCAAGGCCACTCAACACCCGCTGAGGAAAGTCGACATTTTACCGGACCTTCGACGGCGCTTAGCACAGGAAATTGGAGGAGTGTTAGTAAGGCTAAGGAAGGCGTCCCTAACACTCTCCTCCAAAATCGAATCCTCTGTCAAAACGCGACGGAGGAAAGCCAACCTCGAGGCATGTCGATGACTCACCGTGTGGAAATCCTAGCCTCCTCCCATAACACAGACTCTTGCGCCCACCCCACAAGAGGGTAGGCAACAAGCGCTTGATCGCCTCCCTATGGTTCTTGCAAAGAGGAACTACAACCAACCGATAAAGGATGAGAGAAAAGACGTAAGTGGTACACCCCTCAGTCCTACTCTCCTTTGGAGCCAAGTCCGGACCGACGCTCCGATATTTGCCTGCACCTGGAGGTCAGGTTCAAACCACACTCCAAGAATGCGGACAGACCCCGGAAGATCGACCCCCTTCCAGGTACCTCCTAACTGCAATCCGGAAGACTTGTTGCGGTTAATCTTGGCCCCTGTGGCTTTTTCGTACCGTTCAAGTGCCTTCTGTACCACCTCAATGTCGCTCCGGCACGACACGAAAGTAGATACATCATTGGTGTACGCGGAAACCCTGGCTCAAGCCTCACCAGGGACAGCGATTTCACATCGTGTCCTTGAGACGGCGAAGGAGAGGCTCCAGCGCCAAAGCATAAAGTAGCGGCGTGAGTGGGCAACTCTGACGAACCGACCGAGAAAGCGCAAAAGCACGCAACCGCTTTCCGTTCACCTGTACTCCACTTGCAGAAGTTGGGTTTGAATCTGGCGGCCTGCAGGACAGCAACCAGATACCGATTATCGACCCTATTAAATGCCTTTGACTGATTCAAATTGATCAGCACGGCTTGCTCGTTAACTTTTACAGCCTCTAGAATCGTGCGGTTCAAATACAGGTTGCCCTGAATTTTTCGCCTCCTTACAGAACAAGTCTGCTCAAGTCCCAACAGAATCTCGGCAACTGACTGCAAACGCGCCATCAGGATCTTGGCCAACAGTGTTATAGGTCCGTAATCACCTAATTCCCGCCCACCATCCTTGTCCTTTTTCTACAACGTGATCACACCCCGGGTGATCCGATTTGGACGGAACCAGTTGAACACGACAGTCAAAATTGGCACAAAGATGTGAGACAGCCTCAAGTACAATTCATAGGGTATACCATCATGTTCCGGAGATTTGCCACTGCCGACTCTCTTCAATGCCAAGTTGACTTCGCCTTCTGTGTTCTCACCCTCGCAGCTAGCCGTTTAGTCGTCGAAAGCCGAGGAAAGTCAGCCAAATAGCTGCAAAAGGCTCCTTGATAAACCGCCGAAACGCCTAGCACATGTTAATCGACCCCAGAGTACGCCCCTCCGGGGTATTGACCTGACGAATCGACGGATCTCTTCTTTGCGCAATTCTGCGCCCTTATTCACGACTTCGTTAGACATCTTGTTTAACCACCTATTCCCAATAACCGCTCCCACTAGTTTCCGCTGCACTAGTCTAATCAGCTGTTGCTGGAAGTCCAAGTAAAGACTGATTTAACTTCCAGTGTTCAGCCATTCTAGGCCTAGCATCTAACGCTATCTGGGCACAGACGTCTATGATCTGCATAGCCTAACCAGTAGAATGTGGGACAATGTAGTAAGTCTATATTGGCGCTTCTCTCTAAAATTCTATCCGGGTAGCTGGATACCTGGAGAAACTGCCACTTAAGAGCCCACGTTCACATCACCCGCCCCAGATGATCGACCCGGTATCTATCGACGAGCCGAAATTCACCGATCAGATTAACCAAGCTACGTTCGCCCGATAACCTGCCGCTAGCTTCCGCCCCCTGTCTATCTTGGGGTCCAGGATGGCAATCCAGTCCCCAACTAAGACTAAGCGCGAAGAATCAACCAGGAACGTTTTAACTGACGGAAAAATGAGACACGCTCCTTGTGACCGTTGAGTGCATAAACCACAACGACCCGAAACGGACTATTGTTCACGGCAATATCGGCCACGATCAACCGGCTCCTAGCACCGATATGGACAAGATCCACACTCACATCCCTTTTTGAAAGGGGCCTATCTGTTGCCCATGCCGAAGTGGTCACTTCAGTAGGCGAGGCATTCGGAGATTGGGGTTCCGCCATGGTGTTGGCGCACCCTCGTTACCACACACAAACAAGCAATAAAACAAAATCCGTAATTTAAACGACAAAGACAACCAACAGATACAAAAACAAAGGCAAAATATCCGTTAGAATGTCTCCAACGAAAGTTTCAATAAACTGACGTGAAAAAGCTACAAGTTGAGTCTGAATGACTAGCAATCTCTAGTAATCCGTATAGTGATCACTTAGACGCCACGCTAATTCCCATATATACATTTATTTTGCCATCACGTGAGATACCTATTCAAAATGGGGTCACCTGTGTTTGCTCTCTGGTAAGCTGTGTTCAAACACTAGTGTCGGCAGCGACACTTTATTTCTATATAACACTTTCTTTTTGAGATGACTTCCCCTGGAGTCTATACTTCTTCAGCTTCAGTTCAACAGTTAGAAATCCTGTTGGCATTCTTTTTCTTTTGCCATAAACCCATAGTTCAACAATTTCTGATGTCGTTGGTACATTAAACATGTCATACTGAATTTCCACTGGTACCTCTTTTCGGGAACATTTAAATCAGTGAATCTACGTTTTAATTGATTAAGGTGTCGCTTATGTCCCCACCTTTGTTCCTGTACCATGTATGTCATTTTGCCGATCCGTTTTTTATCTTCCCAGAATTCCTTTCCGCGCTGATACAATACCTTATATCCAGGATTGAAGTATTTACTTGTTATTTCTCGATGTTCTCGCCTTGCTCTTTGGTAATAACTTATTGAAAACGGACTTAATCTTCCTGGCGAACATCAACTCTGCAAGCGACATTCCAGGTTTTGGTATTATTATATAATCACTCAGAAATTGCTGAATTATTACTTCATCTGATTCCTCTCCCTCTGACTTTTTAGTGCCCTTTTAAATGTATCGACAAAGCGTTCCGCTTGTCCGTTTGATTAGGGTGATTAGGGAGAGTCGTAAAATGTTCTATTGCTAATGATTTGCAAAAAATCTTAAATTCACTAGACGTGAACTGAGTCCCTTTATTTGAAACGATAGAGTCAGGAGCACCAAACCTTGCAAAAATCTCGTGTTACAGAATTTATCGTTACCGCGGTAGTCGGTTTTCTACATTTTAATATTTCTGACCATTTGGTGAAACTATCGACTACCACAAGATAGTATGCTCCGTTTAGCGAAGTCTATATGTATTCTGAACAATGGCATATCGGTTTTCGGCGGTCACTTCGCTGCAGAGAGCACAACCTTTGCATTATTTCACTAAATTTTCGATATCCTTATTCATTTTCGGACAGTAAGTAAACACCTCATTAAGGATTTCATTCTAGAAATTCTTGGATGTCCTCGGTGAAATTCTTTTAATATACGTCTTTGCAACGATGCTGGCATCACCCCTCTCTCTCTCTCTCTCTCTCTCTCTCTCTCTCTCTCTCTCTCTTTCTCTCTCTCTGTACATAAGTACATCATTACATAATGAAAATGCATTATTTCTAATAATATTTTTTCCTTTAGATCTTAATTCCTCCTTCATTTTGATTATAAAGTCGTCTTTTTCCGCCTTAGTTCTTATTTCCTCCAATGTTATGGTCAGTTTTCTTGCTGTATTGTATAATACGTTATTAATTTCATTTTCGGCCCTTGTCACTGCAATTACTGTGTCTTCAAGTGGTTTGCAGAATTTTGATATTAGTCTAGACAATCCGTCTGCATTTTTGGGATGCTAGAAATTCTATTTTATAATTATAATCCAATAGGATAGTTTTCCAGTGATGCAGTCTATTCACTATGTGTGTGGGAACACCCTTTTTTCTATCAATATATGAAAAATAATGGACGATGGTCTGTCTGTAGTATGAATTTTCTACAATGTATGAATTTGTGAAACTTTTTCATGGCAAATATGATGGCCAATGCTTCCTTTTCAATCTGGCTGTAGCTTTTTTCATCTGCAATTAATGATCTTGAAGCATGAGCTATTGGTTAGTTATTCCTTCCTCAATTTTGTATAGTATCATCACTCCAATACCCGAATCACTTGCATGTGATGCAACCACAATCTTTAATTTAGGGTCAAAACGAGCTAGTGACAAATCCGATGTTAAGACTTTCTTGATCTCTTCGGAAGCACTTTGACATTTATTTGTCCAATTCCATTTCACATCTTTCTTCAGCAGGTTATTCAAGGGTGCACTTAAATCGTGCATATTAGGTATATATGTATGATAGCAGTCAGCAAACCCTAAAAATGCTTGTAACTTTGTTACATATGTTGGAGTGGGCATGCCCTTTATCACGCTTGTCCTTGAAGGATCCGGTGTCTATCATTTTCATCAATAATTTGTATACTTTGTTAGATAAATATCTAATAAAATATACAAATTCTGGACATAAACAATTCTGGACTAAAATTCTGGAACATAAAGTCTGGACATAAACAATTCACATTTTCCTTCACTAATCTTAAAACCATATTTTTTGATTCTATCAAATACTTTCTTTATATCTTCTGCATGTTGCTTTTGGGGCTTACTTTTAATAAGTACGTCATCCAAATATGCTTGAGCACAATCCAAACAGGCAAGCAAGGTCTTCATTATCTGTTGGAATATGCTTGGTGCTACCTTTATACCGAAAGGAAGTCGGTTGAATTTGTATAACCCTCTATGAGTGTTAATTGTTAATAGTTTTGAGCACTCTTCATCTACTAGTACTTGTAGATAATCGTCTGAAAGGTCCAATTTAGAAAAAAAAAATACCTCCATTCAATTTGGCAAAAAATTCCTCTTGACCTGATAACAGGTAATTATGTTGTTTTAAACTTTCATGTAACCATTGTTGAAAAATCATCACATATGCAGATTTTATTATTCTTTTTTTTTTACGTAGACTGTTGGTGATGCCCATTCGGAATAGTCTATTTTCGATATCACACATAGTTTTTCTAGTCTGTCCAATTTATTATTAATTGGATCTAAGGCCGCACGAGATACACTCCTTTTTGGCTTAAATGCCGGTGTTACATTGTCTTTTAATTCAAACTTAGCTTTTGCTTTCCTACATATCCGTAAACCTTCTGAGAAAATTTCTGGAAAACTCTTTTTCAGTTAATTTTCCAGTTTTTTCAGTTGCCGTATTACCGAGAGTGACAAATATTTATCTTGTTGCAAAAAAGAGTTAATTGGAAGGTCCCAAAGATCAAACAATGCCACCCACTCTGTTCCAAACAAATTAGCAGTATTCTTTAATACAAACACGATCGCTTTTTGGAGTTTTTTCATAAAAGAAACATTACAGATGAATTCACCCCAAAAGTTCAATTACTTGGCTCTATAGCGACACTAGGAGAACAGTCAAGCTTAGTTACTTTACTGTCTTCCATAGACCAGGGTACAAGAAGCGAATCTATCTTTCTTTCCACAGCAATGTATTTTGCATTGCACTGTTGGTGCAGTAACTTCTACCCATCCTAAAGGAGAATGGATGAAGAAGAAAAAACAAATGGTTGACTGATGAGATTCTCGACATGATGCAAATGAGACAGAACACTTTGCGAAGATACGGAACGGAATACAGAAAACTACACAATGAAATAAGGACCAAATGCAGACAGGCTAAAGAAGAGTGGCTAAACAAAAAAAAATGTACCGAAATAGAGAGATTGAGTACCACCAACAAAGGAGATATGCATAAACAAATAAAGGGACTAAGAGGATAAAAGACATGCTCGTCAACAGGCTGCATAAAATCAAAGGATGGAACGCTCATACTGGAGAAGGAAAAAATTTTTCAGCGCTGGAGGGAATATATTGGAGAACTCTTCCATGACGAAAGAGAGCAACCAGCAATACACAGAACTATCGCCGGGGCTGAAATTCTAAAAACCAAAGTAGAAGCTGCACTGGCGAAATTGAACAGAAAAAAGGCGGCAGGGTCAGACGGAATTGTAACAGAAATGCTGACAGCCTTAGATGAATTTGTCACAGACAAGATTACAGAAATAATAAATGAAATCTACAGCAGTGGTGATATACCGGAAGATCCCAGCAGATCTATTTTCATAGCACTGCCTAACAAACCAGGCGCAAACGAATGTGAACACCACCGAAGAGTCAACTTAATGAGCCACGTAACAAAACTCATCATCCGTATTCTGATGGATAGAGCGCGCAGCAGAATCAGCCCAGAGATAGGACAAGAACAGTGCGGGTTCGTTAAAGACACTGGAACAAAAAACACGATATTCATGCTCAGAATGTCATCAGAAAGCGCAATACAAATCCATAAGGACGTGTACCTATGTTTTATCGATTACGCAAAGGCATTCGACAAAGTACGCCACAAAGATCTGTCGGAAATGCTCAGCAACCTTGATATATTTGAGAAAGATATTAGAATAATCAAGGACCTATACTGGCAGCAAACGATCTGCATGCGGATAGAGAATAAGTTCAGCAGATATACAAAAATAGAAAGGGGCATAAGGCAAGGATGTGTCTTCTCACCGGACTTATTCAACGAGGCAATTCTAAGAGAATTGGAAATCCTACCGAGATTCATTATTGGCGGCCACAATCTTAACAACATAAGATACGCAGATAACACGGTGGTGATAACAGACACGTAAAGAAAACTACAAAACCACCTACATAAGGTAACGAAGAAGAGCGAGAAGAAGGGACTAAGCACAAACTACGAGAAGACAGAATGTATGGTCATTAGTAAAAGGATGAGCCCGAAACGCGATTTACATGTCGGGGACACTAAAATCAAGCAAGTGCTGAAATTTAAATGTCTGGGAAATGACAGAGGACGGTAAGTGCGACGCTGAGATACTAAGACGTATTGGGATGGCCAAAGACACATTCCAAAAACTAGGCAGAGTATTACAAGACAGAAGGATATTGTTAGTAACAAAGACGACTGATACATGATATCTGTCCGCTTTTACGGCAGCGAATGTTGGACGATTTCCTCAAAGATGAAGAAGAGACTTTCTCTCTAAATAATTAAGAACCTATTAAGAAATACGTTCTTTTGCTTATGTTCTCATGGGACCAAAGCATGTGTACATATATATATATTATGGGATAGTATTAGAATATATTTATTTGTGAGCATGTATAAATGGTATTTTTGACCTTACTCATATTCTAAAATACCATTGTAATACATATATAACATATTTCTCCAGATTATACGTGATCCATGGCTCAATTAAGAAGAGTTAAGACAAGTAATTTTAATTTTACCTTTCATGTGAAGAGAATGCATCTAATTTATATTTATTCCATTCCATCTGATGAAAAATGATTATTAATGAAGTTGTGCGTCATACGATATTTCAGGATTTTGAAGAGAGATTAGCATTCTTCTGATAACTATCTGGAAATGAGATTGTGTTGAAAAGTACAGAGAACAGCATTAAGAGATTTGTTAGCAAATTAGTGTAATTATTAGGGTCCTGCTACTAATAATAAATTTAATACTTTTAATAAATCCAATAATCATAATAAATCCAATGATCATAATAAATTTAGTTTTACGGTGATCTTCATTAGATCGTCATTTTTAAACTTTAATTCTACTGAAATTGCAAGGTAAAATACAAATTCTTTCTACTTCTTCAATCACATTAGCTAATGCCTAGATTCTTATCATCATCCCTGCTTACCACGTCATATGAACTTCATAGAATTGAACCAAAGAACAATCATCATCAGCAGCAGCAGCATCAATAACAGCAACAACATAATCAACTTTCTATCTCTTCAGCTGAATATTTAACCGAGGTGATTTTCCACTTCAACATCCCTACTTGACGTCACTGAACCATCCGTTCGAGTAAGCTGTTTATTTTTATCCGAGCAAAATTTGTGCGATTGAATCCTATCGAATCTCAGTTTCTTTTCTGCAAATGCTCACGAAGACGGGGCTATTTACAGCTTCAAAAACAACTTCATTAATGAAAGCCAGCGGTCGGAGTAATTGGCCAGCATTAATTGAACATACCTTTGTTCATACGAATTTCTGTGTGTGTGTGTGTGTGTGTGTGTGTGTGTGTGTGTGTGTGTGTGTGTGTGTGTGTGTTCTTGCAAAGTGAATAGCCTTTAAATATCACATTAAGTCGCCAATGCGAATAGTTGTCAGATTGATTGAGCGAGAGTCGGGCTGTAATTAGTGATCGGACAACCTGTAGACGCCTTACAACTCAAATTGAACAACGATTGCCCCTCGTAACAGCACCGAAAACAAGAGAATCGGAAATGTCAGTCGTCGTCAACATTTCTAAGTGACCTAATGGTCGGAACGAACGTATAAACAAACAGACTACTTGACTCTGACGAACGGACAGACGATCACTCGGTGTACCACTTACGCTTAAAATGTTGACCTGTATTTAAAAAAATATATTTAAAAAATATTTCAACTTTTTGAATTTAATAAAGCTATGCAAGGGATAATACGTTGAGTATATAATTAATAGAGATAATGCAATATGTGTTAATGATAGTCATATCATTATTAAGTATACAATTTGCATGAAAGTAAGAGACTGTTACCCAGAAAGGGATTATTTTCAAATCATGTTTTTCCTTTTATTAAATTATGATAATGAATGTTATTGATCTTATACTATCTGTAGGATCGAAAATTTGATAATGTTTGATCTTGCTTTTAATATTAAAAAATAAGATGTATTCAGGGAATTAATATTTAAAAATAACTTTCGATATTAATGAATTTTTCACTTCAACATATGTAATCAAATGCACCAAAGGATTTTGAAGCAAATTTCGGGAAAAGAAGACGCAGTAATTCTTCACTTGCAGCATATTCTGTGTCAATGAAAGATGAATAAAATTTTGTATCATTTAAGTAAACAAGTTATTGATATGAAGAAAAGTGTTTAATTTATTTATTTATTTCATTTTCCGAAGGTGCAAGATATTCTACACAAATAAACACTAACAAGTTTTGGAAGGTCGGGGGACATATGTGTAAGACATATTTTTCTAAACATTTTCTTGAGAGAAAGAAACTTTTATTTTATCGGAATCAGACAAAAGCTCTATGTCTTTAGTAATCAGTTTTGATATCATAATTCCCTTATATGACAAATATATATTTTCTAAATATGCCATAAAAAAGTTTTATTGAAAGCAAAGGAGAAAAGAGAACGTCAAATCAAATATTACGAAAGATGCAAACAAAAAAAAAACACAGGACTCTTACACCGATGTGTAATTTGAAAGAAATTTACTTTTATTAAATGACATGAAAAATAATAAGCGCAGAAAATACAAAATTTACAAAACAAGCTTGCACAATATTTTCCTTTGTGTGCCAAAAACTTAGGGAAGATAACAAATTCCAATTAAAATTATGTTGGGCCCATGAAAACCACAACAATGTCCACTTCGATTCATCTGACTTTATTTGAATGAAGTTGAGAATGATGACAAATTCACAGTCGATGTTGGGTTTCTAATTTGTTTAGACAAAAGTTTCACTTTTAGAAAACGACATGGGATCCCTTATTTTCATAAAAAGTTCAAATACATCTAATTTTATAACTAACTTTCACAAAGATATAAAAAGATAATCGAATATTTCTCTAAATTTATAGAACTTTTTCCTTTCTGCTTTTCTTTCTTTCTGCTTCTCCTTTTTTTCTTTCAACCACTTTCTTTACAAGTTTTGAAAACCAAATTTTATAATTATGTTCATGTATCTTTTTTGTAAACCGTCAGGTTTCATTTTAACGTTTCATTTACAACATCAATTTGAGCCTCATGTATACAAACTTTTACACATAAAATTTTTTTCAAGCCATTTTTTAATAACTGTTTGGCTTCATTATAGCAGATTTTATTTAATGAATACGTGTATTAGTAACATTCTTCTTTTAATAAAAGCTTTTTAAACAAAAAATAAAGTGTAATAAAAAAACTTAAACTATAGTATTCGTTTTTATTTACCCTTTATTTTATTATAATTGTACATTTCTTTTTTATTATATAAATAATTAAAGGGTAAAATGATGATCCCCAACGGCATTCATTTTAATAGCATTCAGTTGGGTTCTATTTGGCCATTTAACAGATCTCTAAAATGAATGCGTTTTATCTAGAATTTATTTACATAAGCAATTTTTATACAATAATAAACGCAACATAAAACAGTGTAATTTGAACTAAACAAGTTTACGTATTGTTGACATCAAGTGAAATTCTATCAACACATCTTGAGGACAGCAAACTCTATTTGTCATTTGACAACAAGACGGTAATTCTGAACAGTTACTCCATCAGATTCTATTTATTAAAAAATAGGAAAAAACAGCAGCAAACAAGGATGATGTGTAAAGAGGAGCAAATAATGTAATAGTTTGATTGCATGAGATCGCCTGACCTAGGTACTCTTAAAAATGTTTCAGATGAATCAAACGATGAATTTGTATTCAAAGGGAACAGTAGTCAATCCGGAAATTAAGGGCGGATGGAAGACTGAGTCAGCGCGAGAAAACAATAATGGCCGGGATTTTGAGAGAAAACAATCCGGTAATTGGAAACACTGTTTTTTATATAATGAGAACAAGTGGGACATAATGGTCCCATATAAGTAAACAATTTTATTGAATTATACATACCTACATACATACACATATACATATAAAACATTTTTGTACAAGCATGTTCACTGTACGTGATTACTCTCTCTCTCTCTCTCTCTCTCTCTCTCTTTCTGTATATATATATATATATATATATATATATATAAACATCATATAAACATAAATATATATATGTAGATATGCTTAAATGCGTGTATGCGCAAAAGTGTACACAAAATGTATTGAAAAGTACACATCAAACTATGTGTAGACATTAAAACACTGAACATATGAACTGAACCACACTCATAGAAAGATACACAAACACACAGACACATACGCACATACACATACGCACAGGCACATACTCACATATACATATAAGAAAATATACAGGGAGATTGAAAAGTAACTCCCTATTTTGTGTATGATGGATTCTCCGGTCTTGTAAAAATTATAGTTAGCCGTGAGAGTACTAATTATAATAGGGAATTACTTTTAAATCACCCTGTATATTATTTTTCACTGTAAGTTGAATTACCGTGAATTGGTTTATAAATAAATAGGTATATCTCGTTATACTTACAGTATTGTAACAGCTTTAACTTGATGGAATACTTATTTGTACACACACACACACACACAACACACACACACACACATATATATATATATATATATATATATATATATATATATATATATATATATATATATATATATATATATATATATATATATATATATATATATATATATAGGGAGGTACTTTTAAATCCTCTGTATACACATAAATACATATTTATATTAATGTTACACTTATATAGTGATAATTTTAAATCATTTTACTATACGTACAAAAAGAGGGGAAGAGATATATGTCCGCCATGTACTCATTGATATGTTCAAGGGTATAATTTGTTGTAAGATTCATTTAAGTTTGATGTATATGTACATGTTATGTGTATATGTATATTTTCTTTTGCATATATACTGGCAGTCATACATACAGATATATGTATGACTAAATGGAAAGCTATTTTATCCGTACGAAGGCGGAAAAGTACAAATTATATTCTGTAGGTTTAAAAAAACGTATCAGAAACTGTATAATTTTGAATAGTAAGGAAGAAAAAAAAGATGGACCTACTGCATTAACTAATATTCTAACGGAAAATTTAATTTAAGGTCAAAGTGTAAAGTGTACTGCTCAGAAGGAGATAGTTAATGGTGCATTGGATTCCTGATTCTAATATGAGAGGCTTTAACATCAGATAAAATTGCATTTTACAGTGCTCTCCGATTGTGACTGTATCGGGATTATAAATACTAAAGTCATTTTTTCAATACTTACTGCAAATTTTGCTCGAAACGCTTAACCTAAAGTTTAAACGAAAGCTATTTAATAAAATTATTAATATTCTGAGAAAATAAGTGTATTTTCAAAGAGAGCCATATATAACTTATAATAGATTTTCACGTTGACTTGATGATAGAGATATTGTCGCAAACATGTATTTGGACGTGAAGTCCTGGATGCTTGCTCTTTTGTTCGAACTATCCGAAAAGAGAAACATTATGTATTAATGTTTTGTAATTGGTCAAGTAATTCAACAATATTTACCATTACATCCTTAATCATACGTCTTGTCTTTTTTCTTTTTCGTTTTTGTAAATACTGGTCCGAATACTTTTGTCCGTTATATTCGTCCAGATTAAAAAGGGTGTATGAGATTTAATGATTGGAGAGGAGGCAGACGTTGAGTATTGAGTGAATAACAACGGAAGGCGGACTCCAGTCTAGTGTGGTGTAAATGTCACAGGAAGGGAGAGTCAAGTAAACATGCGTGTTATGTTTTGAACTCTGAGGCACAATTAGACAGACCTTTACGGTTGGGCTTTTGACACAGTACAACATTCGACAAAATTTGATAATCCACCCCCTCCTCTAGCACTGGCGCCAGACTGCGACGAAAATTAGTCGCTTAGTGGATGATGATAAATGTTTCCTTATATAAATATCATTTATTTGCTACAACTCGATATATTATTTTCACCAAATGCGTAAGTAAATGCCAAGAAAAGTAAACTAGCAACCAGAAAGACTCGAACGCGTGACTTCTGTATCACATTTATCAATTAACTTTGTGACAAACAGAATGGTTGATTAATTTTGTAGAATATACTTTGCCCAGCTTCCAATCACGATTGAATATCAAATGCATTCTTTATATAATTTAGTTTCAAAGTGAAATTGTCACTGAATCCCTGAGAATAAGCAACTCTATACTTGGTCAAATGTCATAAGAAATTAAGAATACAAATTGAATTTGAAAACAAATTAAAGGCTTTTTTCCAAAAGAATCTGTCTTTAATTAGAAGAATCAACCATCTTCTAATGGTCTAATATTCAGTTGATTGTTCGATGCTTCCAAGAATAGCTCTGTTGATGACTATCTTCTATGCCATGCAAAGTCTTCTGTTAAAAATTGCAATTCAGGATTATTTCCCTTTATACATACAAATTCAACAAATTCAGCAGGTAGCTTTCAGCTTTTGATATCTCAGCGAAACTAAATTTGAAAAAAGTCAATTCAAAATTTAATAGTGATCGGCATTCATATGTAACCCAATTGATTGCTTGCGACCCAATCAAGCAAACCTGAACAAAATATATTAAAGAAATGAATTATGAATATAGATAATTTTGTTGAAAAATAACGGTGTAATTACTCAAAATCCGACATTACCAGAAAAAAAAGAGTTTTACTTGTTTTCTATGTTAATCATTTTCTTTTATGTAATAAACATTAGCTGATATTTCTAACTCTAAAATCTTTTAGAAACCTCATCAAGCAGTTTAAAAGATTTTTGTTGATTTTCTTTACAGATAATTCTGTGTTTATCAGAAATATTGACATCTATTACTTATTACTTCTAATATTATCTCAGATTTTATAATTATTTGGTTGATTGGTGGTTTAGCATCGATTTGATGCTGGGGATATATATATATATATATATATATATATATATATATATATATATATATATATATATATAGGGAAGGAGAGAGAGGCGAGTACGAGAGAGAGGAAGCTATGAAGATGGATAGGTAGGAGAGAACCAGTTTTATGGCCTGCACATTCCCCCGATTTAATCCTTTGGATTTTTATCTGTTGGACCACCTAAAAAAATTGGTTTATGCAGCAGACATTAATAATGCAGAGACGCTTTACCTACGTGTCATTGGGGACAGCGAAACCATTCTACATCGTGTGAGAGTATTTGAAAGAGTCCTCAAGTCAATGATCCGATGAGTGCATGCGTCCGTTGGAGAAAGCGGAGAACATTTTGAACATTTCTTATGAGTTGGTGTGTCCAATGATGGCCTTTTGGACATATGTGTTTACATTTTACCTTGTATTGGTGTCCCCAAAGCTTGTAAAAGTATTTTTAATACATTCTATTCACACACACACACACACACACACACACACACACACACACATATATATATATATATATATATATATATATATATATATATAGTCACTGAAGTTAACACCAAGAGGCGACAGTCTGCCTATAGTCGTGCCAAAACACAACATAGATTGTATTCAAGCATAAAACAGATTGCCGCCGCTCGGTGTCCACTTTTATATCCCTGATAGATTTTACCCATATATATAGCATACCTTAAAAACATATAAATATATATATATATTCTCTACCCTACTTACAGACACAGACTTGTATATATTTTTCTTATGTTTTGTTTTGATTTGTTTTCTTTTTTAATAAGACTATTATGTCAAAAATAGATCTGAATTATGTTTTCCCAATGAGCAGGTCACAATAGAGTAACTGCGTGATTTGAATACTTATGATATATGTACGAAGTGATACTGAAAATCTCTCGGTCCGATCCACTTCACAAAATCTGACCATATAACCAAGCATCAGATTTGGTGATAAAAGGGGCATCTCTTCTCGGTCGTAGAAATTTTCGGCACCACCTCATATGTATACTTGTACAGATTATGAGTTCACTTTGTGACAATATGAATGACCCATGCGCTAGTCTTTGGAAAACATTTCTGGTCTTATCGCTAAAATTACTAGTGGGTAAACTAAATAGCGGTTAAAAGAGTCCATTGTTGCTATTACTAAGCATAGCAAGATAATAGAACAGAACTAAAGAAAAACACCGGGAAAAAATAATGCAGACATACGAAATGCATGTAGAGCTATAAAAGTGAAACTAAACAGAAAATGGTGCACAAAAGGAAATTAACAAAGAAAGAATGAATTTAACAAAACGATTGGTCTAGAAAAAAAAGAAAGAATAAAGTATTTTACTAATTGCTCATTTTTATTTTTATTCTATTTTTCACTCAACACAAGGAAACCGGTGAAATGGCACGAAGCATCGTGCGGAGTAGAAACGTTAAGACAATGGCAGTGAACACAGCATAGAGAAAAGCACTTTTTACCGTCGCTCAATATAAGAAAACAGCGCAGCTTCAAGGCAGACGGGTAAACGGCATGCCTTAGCCTCGTTTTCAATAGATCTGTCCAGGTGGCGAAGCCAGTCCCATTGATTTCTTCTATCTTGTATTGTTACCAGTCATTTCTTTTCAATATATTTTTTAACAATATCCTTTTTTTGGAATTGTTCAGCAAGTTTTTTATCCAATCTATATTTTGCCTTCTTTCTCCGCTGCCAACCCACTTTTTGACTTCTTGTATTTTGTTTTAATTTCTTCGTTTTTTTTACTTGTCAGAATATTGCGTTCTCCTTCTCTGTTCACTTATTTGTTTGTTATTTCGTAATTTACCTTGTTATCCGCTCGTTGCCTCATCATCACTAACGCCGCCACTAGCGCCACCACCAGCAATTCATTCATCCATGTCTGTTCGACTTTTGTTTATTCTTTGCTACAAATTCAGTTGTAACAAACTTATTTCTCTGTTTCCTCACGCAACGAGTCAATCTGGTCTTTTTTGCCCCACAGTATTCGTCTCATTAAAATAATTATTCACAATAATGAACAAACAAATCTCTTGCCCGCCTACTCGTACCCATCTCTGCTTCTCATTTTCTCTCATTTCATGTCTTTTTATTTATCTTTCGCCCCTTTTAATTCTTTATAATTATTTCCTCCCCATGTATATATATATATATATATATATATATATATATATATATATATATATATATATATAAGTATATGTATATCTATCTGTATCGTATATATACTCCTTTCGTTAATTGTTCTTTACAGTTCATTCAGTCGTTAGAGTTTTCAATCTTATCATTTTTGTATGTTTTTTTCCGCTCTCATTCTCCTTTTCGGAAAATATGTCGTTGTCATTTCCAATTTCTTTCTATTTCCCTTATTAACATCAACATTACTGCTGCTGTTGTTATTTTCTTCATTGCTGTTGCTACTTCACTCTCTCTCCTCTCTCTCTCCACTCTCTTCTTTCTCTCTCTACTCTCTTTTTCTCTCGCTACTCTCTCTCTCTCTTCCTCTCCCCTTCACCAATTCTTGTCATTCATGCATAGTTTTTTTTTAGTTCGTGTCATTTTTACCAGTAGTATAAAGAACCATTACGTCTTTCTTTTCTGTTTCAGTTTGTGTACTTATCTTAAAAGGATTTCCCACTCCAACTCCTCAACGAATGGCAATCGTCCAACGCTCTCGATTCTGCTGACCAGTTTTTGAGACGCCTTCTCGCCCGCCTAACATTGAAGTATCATTTCCAGCTCATCTTCTCTGGTCATTCATGCGAAAATGAGCCCTAAGTTCCGGTCAGCTTCCTCTTCGACTCGGTCCAATTCTGGATCGGGATAAAATAATCAAAGCAGAGAATTTCTTCAAAAACCAAGTCTTTTCCCCTTTTATTTTCACGCCGCACGTATCTTTGAATGTTTTGCGGTTTATTCTAGTGTTTTCTAAGGATGCTGAAATGCTTGCTTCGGTAGCTCAACAGTTGAGCGTCTGAAAATCGGCCAAGATTTTTCCCAAAAACATTCTTTTGCTTAAAACTAAAAAGCCAGTTGATAGCGATCCAAGTAAATTCAAAACGAATCTTTTTTTAAAAGATTCACGCACGTATTTTGTAAACATCGCATATCAGAATGTTGCAATGATCAACCTTGTCATATAATATAACTTTGTTAAGTGACCTGCATCTTACATCGCCTATTATCAAACTCAACGGATTCTAATAAAAATCCATGAATTTACTGAAATACTTATATCTACTAGTTATTTAAAAAAATAATTCAATGCTGAAAAGTAAATATAGAAACAAATCGGTAGTAAAATTACATCAGGAAGTTTTTTATAATCTTAAGATATTAAGGAATATTTATTTATATTTCATTTTAATTTCATTTGCTTGTTATGTCAACTTAGAACGTCATTCTTTATTTCAAACGACCGTAAAATTATTGTTGCTATTAGAAGCAATTGTAATAAGATCAAGAAATGAAGGCATGCCGAGAATTAATGATAACTGATAATAATCCATGTAATAATCAATCAAAATAACGTTTAAAATGACTTCTTAACGTTTAAAATGACTTTTAATCTAACCAGCTCAACTGAAAATTGATGTGATTTCGACAACAATCTAGTACTGCGCTTAAATTTAAAAAGTCTATGTACCACAGCGAATATTTATTTGAAGTTCGACACTGAGTTCAGTTATCGTCATCTTTATCACTATTATTACAGAAATATTTGCATCATTTAAATTCATATATAATCTAAAAATAAATTCTAACTTAAGTAATATGTGTGTGCATTTAATTATTTCCAAACCGAAAGTTTTTTTCGATTCAAATTTCACATGATTTCATAGAGAAAGCTGGCTAACTTACGTTTCACTTCACGTTGATTCTATAGATAAAACGAAGATACACCTAATAGCTTAACTAGTTTATAAATTATGCGCCAATCCTGTAATTACTCTGAATATTCTGGACTATTCTCAGTAGACGTGTGTTTCTTTTAGACAATATTGTTTATACATTTATCTATTTTCTATCCTGTACATGTAAAATCTATAGAGCGTTTACTTTACTACGTTAAGAAAGCCCAGATTCTATAACCACGGAAAGAAAGATTATATTTTTTGATTTGCATTAAAACTACGTTTTGATTTAAAAGCTTTTTCAGGGACTGAAGAGAACTCAGATGTTTTTGCTTAGTAATAGAGCTTCATAGAGCTTCGTTGGCAGATACACAACATGAATTGGGAAACTGTTAGACATGTAAAACTTTAGCAATGAGCACTACTTAGAAGTATCAATAAACAAATTCTCCCCTTCCGTGAAGTTCTCACTTTTACACGTTGTTTTCAAAGACCAAGACCCACCTTGCTTAGTGTTATCGTCGAAAACGGTCTCGGCATTTTAAAGCTTCTCTCAATTGCTGCCTTTTCTTTACTTTAAACGCAACCTTTTTAAATATAAGCTGCATTAGACAGGAAAAGAAATAAAAGACTGAAGTGCTTTCATAGAGAGAAAATACGTGCAGCCGGTCGCAGGTGAGCAGAAATGGCGCGTGTCAGTCATCTCTAATTAAGATCTATTCTTTTGCTAATTATTCGCTCGTTAGCGTAACGCCCAACGCAAAAACAATATGGCCACTCCTGTGCAAACGATTTGCAGTCCCCCGGCTGGGACGAGAGGAGAAGAAAACAAAAAGAACGAGCAAAAAAGAAGATTTATGAGTAGAGCGGGTGAGTAAGCAGAACAAATTTCCTGGTGTTAGCGACGCATGTTTAAGAGGCACAAACAGAGAAGGAAGTAAAAGAGAGAGAGAGAGAGAGAGAGAGAGAAACAAGAAGGAATTGTGCAAATCCTAAAATCTATCTGGTTTCATCTTAACAAATCTTCTCTCTTGACACGGGTCACAAAATGAGACCTAAGATTGAAAAATACACGCAGACGACCTACAACTGAGACAGCTTATTCTAGCAGAATGGAAGCAAATCCAGCTGTTTTAATTAATTTATTCATTTATTCGTCAACTGTCACGATGTCACGGAGAGAGTTATTCCGTATTTCAATATTTTGTAGCAGCTCCTGTCAGTCTGTATTTGCTGGTTCGGCTACACAATTTCGGTGGGATTTTAATGGCATTTAACACTTAATTTGTTTAAAATATGGAATTATATAATGTTGACAGAAGACAAAAAAAAAGCTCTAGAACTATTCTGGTATGGAATACTACATTATTAAAGCAGATCCCAAGTAGAGGCTTTTGGAGAGAGAAATCAATACTTGATCATCTAAACTTTTTCTTTACCAAGATATTCATAACCGTATCATATTCTTTTAGTCTAACTTCGCAACGTATTCCTTGTTTGTATTAAATTTCTTTTCCAAAACACAGACAAATAAAAAAGACAGGTTACTACGATTATCTCCAGTTCTTGCAGGTTTGAGACAATAACTGAATCTTTAAATCCGATAGATAATCCTAGTAATATATATATATATATATATATATATATATATATATATATATATATATATGTGTGTGTGTGTGTGTGTGTGTGTGTGTGTGTGTATGTATAAAAAGGTTTGTCATCTAAATGACGTGACCTTCAGCATCAATCAGCTGAGTGAAAACCCTTTAATTATATCAATTCTATTAACGCTCTATCTTTTTTTATATCGAGCACTTTACTGCAAACACAGCTTGCCTTAAATGACTTTTCTTTCAGTATCCCACTGACTGAGAGCATTTTAGCTGCATACTATGTTTGATTTTATATATATATATACATATATATATATGTGTGTGTGTAAATATATATATATATATGTGTGTGTGTGTGTGTGTGTGTGTGTGTGTGTGTGTGTGTGTGTGTGTTATTACATTTGAATATTTAAGTTGCCACTACAAAAATGCAGATTTGTTTCGATGCCAAATTCAAAAATCTCATCAGGTGGTGATCAAAGATAAGTTATGAACGATTTTTTTAAATGATAGTTGTGAAACTACACTTCTTTTATATTTAAAAAAAAAATTAAATTAAATAAGATATAAACTGAAATGCTATATTGTATAAAAACTTTTTCTTCTAGTTGCCAACATTTTCGGTTAAATTTTGAATTTTTCTCTTTTAAGAACCCTCTCAACGTTTTTCCCGTTGGCTAAATTATCATCAACAACTTTTTCTGTTTTCCCTTTTTTTCCTTTCTTTTCGCTTTCTTTTCCTTTGCAATTTTAATTTTTGATATATTACTTCTCCTCTTCTTTCCTTTTCTTTTCCATTTCTTTTCCATTTCTTTGAAGAAGGGAAGAGTTTCTTATGTCTTCTTTTATTACCTCTGTCTATTTCTCTTTCTTTTCTTCCTTTTCCTTTTATGGTAAATGTATATATTTCTTTCTTTTCCTTTTATGGAAATTTTTCTTATGCCTTTCTAATTTTTTTTTAAATATAAAAGAATTGATTTTTCATAACTATCATTTAAAAAAATCGTTCATAACTATCTTTGATCACCGCCTGATGAGATTTTTGAATTTGGCATCGAAACAGAATTGATTTTTGAAGTGGTAATTTAAATATTCAAATGTAATAACTTATAATAAATAATTATTGTTCTACTTTTGTATTGAGCTCTCTTTTAAATTAGTATTATAAACTTTTGAATTTATATTTGTTTCATTCACTTTTATATATATATATATATATATATATATATATATATATATATATATATATATATATATATATAAATTATAAAAACGGCAGAATTTAACCAAAAGCAAAATTCAAATTGCAAAGTTGATAGATCTCTTCAATAAAATTTCTCAGTCGTGCGTGCATATGAAAAATAAAACACAACTGCATATATTTCAGTACAGTTCTTTAAAAATTATTGCTTCTATCGTTTGCTATCTCGGCTTGAAATAATCTTACCTATACACTTCTTATGTTCTCCGTCCATTTGTCAACAACTCACCAAAATATTGAGATTTTATGTAAAGACAATGGAGAATAAGTAGTTGCGTACACACTCCAACTATAATTCCTTTATAAAATATAGCAAAGAAACTGAGACAGCTTTTTCCGTAAAAGATGTTGAATTTTCAATTTAATTGTTTCCGTTTTCCATTGGAAACTGCTATAATTTTTATTGCATTACAGAAAAAAGAGAAAAACTGCAATTATACACTAGAAAATAATGTTTTGTGTGCATTGTATTGAGTTAAAATGAATGTTCTTAAGGTATTATTAAAATCCAGTCAATAATTGATTGTAATTGAGTGATTTTTTTTTAAACTTTAAAACAAATATTACGAAATAATATTACCACGTAAAACAGACTTTCGCACTCGCCCTCCAAATTAAAACGCGGCATTTTAAAATTCCGTAATTTGTCATCTTTTTAATAATGCGACTATAAAGAGATTTTAATGTTTTAAAAAATCGTATTTTCAAAGAAAGTCTCATGTTTTAGGCGATTTTATATTCACATCAATGAATAACAATTCACAATTCTTATTCATTACTGATATGTTATTTCACTCTTTCATTTTAAAATGTAGTTTTTATTTCTATTCGGATGAAATACTTTGAGGTAAAAAAACAGCTTTCATATTCTCCAGTTCTAAAATTCAGCATATCCAATTAAAGTTTACTATCAATGCTAACTGTTGACATTTTCTGAATTAACATATTCATTTTATATAGTTTATACCCCATGCGCTTTCAAATTAGCAGAATTAGTCAATTTGAAATTATTTTATTTGTTATCTTTATTCTTCAAGTTGCTTGAGTGGGGTTATGCGGGCAAAAAATATTCATGACATTTATTTCGATTTGTAAACCAACGTCTAATTCAAAACAAACTGACGCTATGTCAAAAGAAAATGTTTTGTCCTAAAATATGAAATGTGAAATATGAAAGCTTTTATAAACAATGAATAATCTTTTTAGAAAAAAAAATATTATACTTTTGTGTGAATCGGAAATGTTCTTCTTCAAAAGAAATGTTATCTAAACTTATAAAGGGAAGTCAACGTTAGAAATCAATTCCTTTATGACAATTCTAACTCGTATTTGTTATTTATTCATGATATTGAATTGAGTTACTGCTCTGCAGAGTTTTGCTCTATTTCTCTCTTTTTAATTACCACAGGCTAAAGCGAGAGGTAAACTTGGCGCATGCCGGAAGTTTTGTAAGCTTAGTTGCACCAACGAGTTTACGAATCCCAGAAGTGAATCTGCTTCTTCCGGCACACGTTAATGTATGCCTCTACTCGACCGCATTCCGTTCAGCATCCTCCTCCTCCTCCTCCTCCTCCTCTCTCTCTCTCTCTCTCTCTCTCTCTCTCTCTCTCTCTCTCTCTGAAAGAGACTGCTGTTATCGATACTTGATTACTAATCACGGGACAACTCATAACTACTAAACGTCGCTAATAATAATTTCTAATATTACAGGAATATCGCATATTTTAGTAGCACGCTGATTATTTAAAAAATAGTATATTTACTTTCATAAGAGCTAAGTATCATAGCTTAATATCCAATATTAATCCCCAAGTTGAATACTTTTTCTACATATTGTAATGATGTAAATTCGTAATCAAGAAATCGAATATATGCCAATATATATATATATATATATATATATATATATATATATATGTATGCAGTAATTCTGATTTTATACACGCTCCATTGAATTTTTTTTTTCGATTTTTGTGTTTTTCATTTATGAGGACTAAGAGACTGTATAAATTGTCCATAGTGATTGCTGCTGCAAACGCATTCGGCTAATTCATTGGCCATTCTCTTGCTGTTTGTCGTTAGTATATGTTTTGTGCTTGTATTCTAAACTGTCTTCTATAAGTAGTAGTAATTCTAAGCTATACTGTATAGAAATATTACTAATTCCATGTTGTGTTGCATTCAAATCACCCCAACAAGTTTCTACTAAGTTTCATAGCAACTAATGTTGAGTGTTTAAACTTCTTTATAAAAAGTGCTTCCACCCAAACCAATGATGTTAGTATAAGCAACTTCCTAAGCATACCTTCTCCAACCTACACAGGGTACGTCGACGATATTTTATGTTAACAAAAATAGAAAACCTTTGAAAACCTAAAATTCTGTACAAAAGTTTAAGTCGCTTTAACAGTTAGTTATACTTTGGGTAACTTTTGATTGATTCAAATTGCAGCACATTAAAAAATGCCAGAATGTAGCCAACAAAAATCTTTTCTATCAAACTAATGGCTGAGATAGTTGCAAGTACTTCAACTTTACTGAAGAAAAGATGAAATTTGACAGTTTATCCCAAATTTACCTCTCGGTGTATACCTTATTGGAAAATTGCAAAAAAAAAAAAAATGCAACAAAAAAATTAAATAAATAAACCTTGTCGTTTTAATTTAACAAAACTTGATTGGATGACTACTTACTACCTAAATATACTTTATACACACCCGCATGCACCCACATGCATACACACACACACATATATATATATATATATATATATATATATATATATATATTGATTATTTCTCTAAATAATACAAAAACCGTACCTTCATATATAGTAGTCTCATGCACTTATGAGGCTCATTGAATTTTTTTATGCTTAAATGCTTTCAATGTTTATAAGTGTGCAATTCTATCAAATGAAATGTTTCTTTCTCGTGTATATCATGAAGCATCCCATCTTATCTGTGTGTGTGTGTGTGCGTGTGCGTGTGCGTGTGTGTGTGTGTGTGTGTGTGTGTGTGTGTGTGTGTGTGTGCACGCACCCGCGAATCTGCTTGCCTGAAATTTCGGTATTGTTCTCCTTCTTAAATCTGATCCTACTTCCGACCCCAACGCTTTCCTACTACGTCCCGTTTTGCCCCGTTACTAGGTTTGCTTAATGCAATCCCTTTTCAGTTGTTTTTTTCTCCTCCCTTTCATTACCAGCTTCGACTACAATTGTCCCCCGTAATTAACCCTATCCCCTACCAGTTAAACGCTCACTGAAAGACAGGGAGAGGGAGAGAGAGATGCTCCAAAAGCGTGGGAACGAAAGAAATCTGCATAAAAAGAACCCACTCTCGATATTGTCAATTTCTTTCTCTCTCCCTCTCTTTTTCCTTCTCTCTCTCCCTCTCTTTTTCCTTCTCTCTCTCTCTCCTCTTTATTTCCTTCTCTCTCTCTCTCCCCTCTTTATTTCCTACTACATTGTTCCTTACGTTATTATTTAAATCTTTTCGCCTACTTCTCTTTCGACTTATATTTGTTCACTTTTAATCATAAGAAATATTCTCTCGATTTTCCTATCTTTCTATATAATTAAACATACATGATTAAAATATTATCACATACTTGTACCCTTAGACATATTTAATAGTGACAGCTATTAGTATTAAACTAAATAAACGAAAGAAATTTGAAAAATATGACAGAGATGTAAATCCATTTCTTTTGATTTCATTTTTTTTTCAGGGCAATGTCATTATTTTTAACTTTTAATCATTTTATTTGAATATAGAGCATGAGAATGTATTGTTTGTTCTTTTTCTCTCATTTAAGCCTTAGTGTAAATTCAGTGAAAGAAAATTATTGCAAGATTCTTTTCATCTCAATTAAAATAAATTAGTTTGTTTTTCATAAAATGGTAAGATCTATGTAACTGACCTCGTCGATACACAAATCCTCTTATTAAAAAGAACAGCCAAATCCACCTACATTCATTTAAATTTCTAAAATATGTTAAAATCATTATGCTTCAATGAGTTTCATATCTATTCCTCCATCAATTCAAATGGCTATCGGACTATTTGCTTTCTACTTACAAGTTCCGTTTTATCTATTCACTCAGTATTCAATATGTCTGCCAATCTACCGTTTGTTGTAATAACCTGATATTATTTTGATGTCAACGAATTTCCAATATGTTTCTCTGGATTTATCTGCCCTTTATCTTAAGTGGGGAATGAGCAAAATTATTAATGTTACGATACGTCAATGCAATTTTGATTCTTATTGTACCCCAACTAAATGGTTGCATTAGAAAAAGATTTTTGGTTAAAATTAAGAACAAAATAGGTACAGTGCATCTAAATTCAAAGCGAATTAACTGTAGCAAAATTTTAATGGCATATCAGTTTATCATCTGAGAAAACAATAATAATGTCACTGTCACCATCAAACCTACAAGTGTATATAATTAATACCTTAATCAATACCTTAATTAATACCTTAATCAATACCTTAATTAATACCTTAATTAATGGCTTAATTTCTAGTTTTACGTTTGTTTGTGCGCTATTTTATAGCACCATAAAATATTTTCAAATCGTACAGACACGGTTGAATATACTAATGGCAAAACGGAAGAATTGTGATGGAAATTTCCAAAAAAGAAATAAGTATTGAAGAAAATACCAAAACATTTACCCATACATATGCATATGTATGTGTGTGTGATTATATATTTTTTTAAATTAAAAAATAAAACGTTCTACGGAATGAATAAGGAAGAAATTAAAGATGTGTAATACGAATAATACGACCCAAATGGTTCGTCTTGAACTCAAGAATAACGATAGAGAAAAAAGTGAAAAAAGGAATAATTCTGAAAGCAGCGATAATGTAGTTTAACTAATGAATGAATTCTTGAGAGATATATAAATGACAGGAAGGTTCATTCTCGTTAAGTAAATTAGTCATTGATCTTATCGCCTACAGCGTAATTTTTTAAATACATTTTTGAATGATAGAACTACACCGAAAAATAACTGTTATTCATCAAATATAGAATATTCATCAGTTTTATTAACAATATGAAAGTTTATATTGAGGTTAAATTATGTTGAAGGTGAATCGACCAGTTTATGTATATGTTGCCATGTTGATACACGGCAGCGAATATGCAGCAACATTACAATTTATACAGATTTCGTGGCGAAATAATTACATTCATCTGTTAAGTGGAAACATTCGAGAACAGTAATGAAAATGCAGCCGTTTTTTGAACATGTGCCTATAAGTGGTTTGTAGATTCTTAATACAAAGCTGGTGGCTCATTTATGTTCTGTAAAAACGTATTGATTTTAAAGACATTTGAAAATATTAACTATGATTGGCAATCTATATGTGTAGTTGGAGAACAAGGTACTACTCGGGTCAATGAAAAAAGAAAATTGAATCAGCCCGACTACAATGGAGATGTGACTCAATTGAAGACGTTTAGAAGGGAGCAATATTTCTTGACAGTAGATATATTCGAACTTGACACCAGATGACGAATTTTGAATCAGAGCGCAGGGTTGGTGTTGTATTCTCGATCAATAATTGGTGTTACATACAAATTATGGGTATAAAAACTGTTTAAAAATTGGGGTTCTAGAGCTGGTGTAACGCAGATCAGCAATTGAGTTCGACAAAAGAAATCTTTTGAAAAACTCAGCAGCATTTTAAACAGAACTCGAGTGCTTTACAATCATTTGAAATAAGTTTGAACAAGTCTTTATTTCATCAATGAAATTGTTTCTAAAGGTTTGTTATTCAAGATGTAGTATGCGATTCATACAAATAGAAAATAAAATTTAGAAACACCAAAAATAAACAAAACCGAAAAGTAAAATGTTATCAATTTATTTTGATGAAATGATTAATTCACAATAATATAAGTTATGGAAAATCTAATATAAGTTATAGATAATCTAATAAGATGTCGATACTAAGTAATCAAATGCGCAAGGAAATATTTTAACGAAGGAAAATTAATCAGTTAACATATGAATCGCCACATGCAAATCAAAAGAGATTAGACTTTTTATAAGAGAATCTAATCGGCACACACTTGAATTCCCTTAAATTTCGCATGCAGCATGGACACTTAAAAAAAACTATTACAGCACAAGTGACCACTGGTTTCAATGGAAAAGGTCGACGCTACATATTAATGTTATCCTTTTATTTAGGAAAGACACCATGAAAACTAGAAACAAATAATGAATATATCTCTCAAACGGGAAAATGGACAAACAAAATAAATTTCAAAGAAATACACAGACAAGAAAAACACTTTTCAAATAGAAACAATAACATTTTCAAGAAATGATAAACGGACACATTCTGTTTCAGAGTAGAAATTAGACTTAGTAGGGAACTAATATTTGCTTTTTAGATCAGCAGTAGCTAAAAGTATACTTGGTAGTTTCCTTACCTATAAGGGGACACGTAGTACTAGACTCGCAGAAGTTACAGCGAAACACATATATGTATATATGTGATAAATATCAATTTTTATATTTTACGGGAGATTAAAAATTATCCTCATAATTTTAACACTGCTTATTGCTGTTACCATAGTACTAAGGCGCGATATCTCTAAGGTTGGTAACGCATATACAGTGCCCTTTGGTGAACATTACGTTAAATTAGTTTTAACCAGTTCAATGTAAAAATAACTCTTGTACTAAAATTCCATCTAAGTAAATTGAAAAACTAATTTAATCATTCTACAACCGAAGGAAGTATATATTTTTTGATAAGACAATTATCGTAAAATATACATGTTTTCATTTTGCGCTGGGGAAAACTTAATAACTTGAGAAAGAAGCTTGATAAGAAAAATCGATAAAGCATTTAAAATAATAAAGAGTTTAGCCTAATTTTGAGAAGTATTTCTTATGCATATTTCCTAAATGCCATATATTGATGTGACATTTAGGAAATATGCATGCAGTCCCACATATGAACATTGACACGAATGAAAACAGGTCGACAAGAAAATATATTTGAATTCAATTTATTTCAAATGAAAAAGATTAATGTTTGGACATGTGTTTACCTTTATGTGAAAGGCTAATGACAACCATTCAGTCTTGTAAATTAGCGTATAGGCTGATAAACGACCGCTAAAGATGAGACGAGATGAGATGAAATTTTATCCGTTCTATTAGAAAATAAACAGAGTAAATTATTATAGTTTCTGGTCCCGGACAGATATTATAGGATTCAACCAACTACGGCATACGACTTTAATTACGTAACGGAAAGGAAATATACAAACCTGCGGTGGAATACCATAAGTGCAACCAAAGATAAGCTCAAATATATAACAAAATTTGTCCTTGTACACACACACACACATATATATATATATATATAGAGAGAGAGAGAGAGAGAGACAGACAGACAGACAGAGACAGAGAGAGTGACAGAGAGAGAGGGAGAAAGAGAGAAAAAGAATATTGTGTGAAAAATTCTTGGTTCGATTCACTTCCCATAATCTGAACCGGCTAAGAACTTTTCAGCAATATATGTACATCTTAGGTTCAGTTTTCCATTTAAGCTGATGTTATTAAAGATCACCGACTAAGTTTGTTTTGATAATTTTTAGTGATATTCTTTTGTTTTCATGCAATATAACGGATGCCTTGTTCCAATTTGTGTTAAAATTGTCTGTACGTAGATCGAATGCTTTCAGCTACACTGGTTGTTTTCAAGAACGGAATCAGTTGATGGTTTTCAAAAAGTTTACGTATTTCTTTTATATATACATCATGACGTTTAGTGTTTAGAATGTTATAAATTTAAATCATGTTTAGCATTTCAACAAACGCTTACAACAAAGGCCACTTGCAGAACTTTATATGTGTTTATTTGTTAAATTATTGAATATATATAATACATAGTCTGATATAGTCTGTTTAATGTAGATTTTATGATTATAGCTTCAAGTATTGTTAATATTTTTATAGTTTATATTGCGCAATATTTTGTGGTGGTATATATATATATATATATATATATATATGAGCTTATTATTTATCAGGTTATAAATTTATATATACATATATATATATATATATATATATATATATATATATATATATATATATTATTTATTATTTATCAGGTTATAAATTTATATGCCGACAAATTTAATAACAAAAAACAGCACACAAAGGCCACCCTATTCCTTCGAATATCTGATATTGGCCTTTGTGTGCTGTGTTGGTTATTATTAAATTTATCAGCATATAAATTTATAACCTGATAAATAATAAACTAATCGACATGAAAGCATCGTAGTCGTTTGATATATTTATTTAATATTAGAGATATAGTCTCTTTATAGAGAACAGATTTCATATATTACATTGGTTTTGTTTAATAGGGATTTTTCGGTAGGGATTTGTAATAGTTAATTTCATGTGTTTATCGTTGTCAGTAGATGATATATACCTAC